CCGACGGTCTAACGCACGAGGCTTCAGCAATTCACTAGTATGTTAATTTACCTTTATTAATTCAAGATGATAATCAGCTATGCCATTGGTTGGTTATTACCACAAGGGGCCGGCTTCCAGCGTGATAAATAATATGTTAATGCTAACTTCATGCATTTTCTTAAAAGTAGTTTTGACAATTTATATCTACGCTGATTGCAAGCGAAACCGTTTAACTTGACAAGTTCGCATGTACATAGTCCACGAAGATGAAACTAGAAACAATTGTCAAGAAGATACTTGCCATCAATTGTTTATCGCACAACGAATAAAACTTACAAAACTGAATAAAAACCTTGGCTACTATCAAGACAACTTGCTGGAGTATTAGTTAAAAATAGCATTATCCCACTGCTGAGAAGAAGTCAAACCAACTGCTGTTTTAACAAAGCAGTGATCAGAAAATTAGAGGAAAATTGGAAAATTAGAGGTTTGACTTATGTCTTGATTTCCTTGTATTGTAGCAAACCGAAAATTGAAGTTCGCGGAGTTTTTGAGGCTAATGGCAGCCTTAATAATAGATGAGGAAGACAGTGAGGAACAAACACTCAACCCTACCCGGGTTTTTGACCCTGAAGAGCGCGGTTACTTCAGCTCAGAGGAACTCAAGACAGCACTGAAACGCATGCCGGGAAGTTCTCAGATGAGAGACTTTGAGCTGCGGGATATTTTACGGAAAGCTGATCCTGACAGGGATGGAAAGATAAATATTCAAGGTACTTGAGCAAACTGGCAATGAGTACGAGAAATAAAATGATGATGAGTGAAATTAGGGAAAAATTTTATGCGCTTTTTTTCAAAATTTTAATGATTCTCCGCTTCTTTGGGCGAGGGAATTTGTTTGAATTCTGACAACACAAGTGAAATTATTTCTTAATTTCATAAGTATACCATTTGATTACCTTTTAACATCATGGGTGACAAATTACGCTTACAATCGTGGGCTTTTGATTTGTTTATTGTATCGAGAAATATCGCGCCAAACGTTTCCATGACGATTTTGAAATTTATAAATTAACTCTGAAATTTCGAATTCGCGCCAAAATGAATAAATTCTTGGCCTCTTCCTGGGTTCAAAAAGCTTTTTAGCAGGCTCATTTTGGTAGGGAGTTAGGGCTGGGGCTAATTAGTGGACGGATGTTTGAAATTGGTCAGGCATATTTTTAGAAGGCATTTTGTGTGTGAGCAACACTCCGCTGATAAAGATGTTAAGATACCGCGTTGTAAGAAGAGTTTATCACAAGCCTCCTGACACCCTCTGATACAGAGATATATATTGGTTCATTTATAGATGATACTTTTCTCAGTGAACGTGAGCTGTATCAATGCACTCATGGCTTTTCTTTTTCTCTCGACAGATTTTCAAAGACTTCTTGAACCTTTAGTGAGACTTAAATGACAGAATTTGATCAATGTACAGTTCATCGCCGATGGTCAAATTGTAATTTCAATAGAATGGAATTTTAATAAAGTAGCACCGGATTAGATTTAACAGCATTAGCAGCGTTAATTTGTAATTAAAGTTAATTTCCTGGGTAACAGAACGTGAGCCGTTTGACGTGGACAACTTAATACTTCAATTTCAAGATCGAAAAACTGTTCTGAAATCTGAAAAAAAAACTGAAATCCAAAACTGAGTAGCATATATAAGCTTCCCATTGTCCACCCAGTCAAACCACGTATCTCTTTCTCCATATCTTTCTCAATTCTTTCATCTGATTCTAATTCTATACTATGATCACAATCGTAAGTCGCTAGCGAAGTAAATAGCCTTAATGATTCTGAAGTGTAGTTTGTTGATGCGTTCATCCCGGTGCATGCTATTTTCGAGCTGTATTCATCGTCGACAATTAGAACTACCTTCGTTTCAACATGTCAGATCTTCATCGATAGCGGACTTCAAGGATTTCCTTGTCAGCAATGCGATAATCAATAGTCATTCGCTTGTTCTGTTCAATACTCTCCTCTAACATCCGGGTGATTTCACGGTTTTTGTTACCATGGGGAATCTTCAGGTTTTGATAAATCTCTAACCCCGTGTACACATTCACCACATGTCGTTCCCAGGCGACACTCCACTGAATTCCTGGCTTCATCACCACGCCTCGTATTTCCATGATTTCGGCTTCGTCGTCATCATCATCGTCATCATCGTCTGCGGCTTGGTCCTTTCTCTCTACATCTCGACTCATCTTAGCCGGTTAAGTGTATGAGGCACTAGTGTATAAACCTGGAACGTTTCAAGACGAAAATTCCCTTTCATAAATAGACATCTGGGCTCGGTTGTTCAGGTAGATAATGTGATCTACCGGATAAATCACATGTACAGTGGATAAGATAAATTTCTTTTTAGGTCAACACATATCCAATGGATAGTAATTTAACAAAATAACAAAATAGTAAAATTTTTAGAATAACTCACAGTGGTGAATAAAGGAACGAAGGAACGAAAGAACGACTACGAACGAACGAACGAATGAATGAATGCCGACCGACCGTACGAACGAACGAACGAACGAACGAACGAATGCGTGAATGTGTGAATGAATGAATGAATGAATGAATGAATGTTTTATTTCTAATTTTCGTATCAGTACATTTGGTTTTTAATATGGGAGGTGGACTAAACAAAACATCTGCAGGATTTACCAGTGGTTTACCAGTAAGCAAATTATAAAACTACCGTAGACGTGGTAAAGTCGCCAGTTTTTGATAGTACATTTACTCTATATTTCAAGAATAAAATTGGCAGATTAATAATGGCATAAATGCCCCGGAGGGTTGCCACCGTCACTGTGTGATGGCAGTACAAGTTCATTTATCATGTGTACTTTAATTGGTTGTGCGTGAAAGAGGTAACCAGAAGGTCTTTTATACCACAAGTGTCGTGCAATGTCCCTTTCCCAAGTATCCGAGATATTTAGAAAATCTAGGGATATTTAGAAATATTTATAGTTTTTTTGGCTGAGCCCTGTGTTTTCCTCGCTATTTTCTTGAAACAATTCTTAGTTCTATGCCTGAAACAATCCAGCTCAGCGATTACCTATTTGAGAAATATATTCCGTATTGCTAAAGCAATAACACAGCAATTTTCCAAAACGGCGGATGCAAGTAAAATCGATGCGCCTGAATCTTCTTCCCGGCATCTACGCCTTCAGCTACTTCCAGAAAATTTTGACAATTTTGAAATATTTCGCGAAGTGATTCAAAATCGGTTTATTTTTAAGACAAAAATAAGAGATATTAAGCGGGTTTTGCGAGATATTTAGAAAAATGTTTGCGACATTAGAACATTTTTTGAGAATTTCCGAAAAGATATTCAGGCGATTTCACGTGATATTTTTTGAAAGGCCCAGTCGTACATTTACAGTGTTATACCACCCAAATAATAAACACAGCAAGAAGTTTTTAAAACTATCTGTTATCAGCATGCCTACTGTGAAATTAAAGGAAGCAAATTTGAAGGGACCTGATAAAGCTATTTTTATTGTGAGTTCCAAATTTAGGAAAAGATATTAAGTATTCATTTAATGTCCGATTAAATCTTGGCATCAAATCTTGCATGCCACACGGTATAAGATTAAACTGATTATAGAACACGTTTAATTTTCAAAGTATTATCCACTTCTTAGCATCCGTTTTCAAGGCAGCTTTGAAATGTTTCTCGTGTCTTCATCTCATTAAACGATAAATCGTCAATCATCTCTTATTATTTCAATATATTTTTGTTTGACAGAATCGCGTTTTACGGCCCACTTGCTTTTGACTGATGAAAGGGCTTTAATCTCCCGCTGTGGAACACACAAAATCGGTTCTTCGCAAGAATTGTTATGACTGGAGTGCCTTCGTTAATCTTGGATGTCAATCAACTATTCATAGAATTTCGCCGACACATCTGCGGAATTTTTTGCTCAAATAGGGTCAGAATCGAAGGTCGCGAAGTGGCAGATTAAAATACAGCCACAGATAATAATATGTCTGAAAGAATTTCGAATGAGTAAAAACCCCTTCATGACACCATAGCAAAAATACCCTCTAGTTCTGGACGCTGAAATCTGACCGACTTCAACATGAAAAAAAGACTCAACCTGCAGTCATTGCTACTTCTTAGTCAACAAGAGTCGCAGTGGTAATCTATTGATCAGATCTCAACTTCATGTAAAGCTCTTCGCTTCTTCACACACATGGGACCGCACACGGGACGTCTTAATGAGAATCATCAGAGTCCCGGCGTTGTCTACAGCCTAAAGATCAAACTATTAGCGCGTAACCAGCACAACTCCAGAAAGGAATTAGCTGCCTCTCGTAGCTGTTTCTGGTTAAAAACTTTAAGGAAACCTTAACGAACAGATTCATAGTGTCAATACGGGCTTTTCGGGTGGGGTGAATTACCCTGAAGTCAACTTGATTATGTTAGTATTTGAATTATCTCGAGTCCTTTATGATTATAGTACAGTAACTCAGTCATTAGATATACGTTTGAAGATCTTTACAATACAGGTTATACTTCAGTGGGGTTTGACTCCTACTTACCAATGCCTGAGAGCTATGCCTTCCTCTGTAGCCAAGAGCTTTTGATCGAGGTTCCGTGACTGTGCTCATGTGTGAAAGTCTAAACAATTGGTCTCATTCTCAATGAAATTACGCGTGTTGACAGCTATAAAAACATCAGCATAAAAGGGTAATATGTAATAAGGGTAATCGATTCTTCTTTGGTTCCCAGTTCCGAAAGTTCACGAAACAAAGCGTAAACAGTGGCAGCCGCTGCTCGTAAATCAAGACGGGGGAGACAAAATCAGCTGGAAGCGATAAAAAAATTGATCTGAAAAATTCCTTTACTTTCAATTCAACTATAAATTATTGTTTGGCAGCAGTATGTTTCGGTAATGACTTGCTTGCGAATTATTTGCGTTTTCCATTAAATTAATTCATCATAAAAGCTCCGTTAAGCCTCGGGACGGGGGTCTAATTTCTGTTCTTCGCCTCATGAGGGAAAAGAACGAATGGTTAGAAAAATTATTTCAAACCACAAACCACCCGAGCGGAAGAAATAGCAAATCTGTCCATTGTGAACAGTTAATAACATTTCTCCACACTAAAGAATCTGGCAACAGTATGACATGCAAATAACTATAAAGACATATAGTTCTCTCCAGTTTTTTTATCTTTTATCTTGGGATGGAGGGGGCGTCGACGACTCATTAGATACATGTACGCAACTTTAAAGGAGCTTCGTCACGGTTTGTGCCGCACTTGAAAAGTTTAGTCTAAATTTTTCAAGTTCGCCGTTTGTAATCCGTGTTAATCTTCGCCATCCTTAACCATTCTTCTTCTTTCATGGTTTATTATTATCTCTGGTGTTTTCTATCTTAGTAAGCTAGGTTTTCTTCAATTTATAGGCAATTTTATACTTGGCCCAAATAACTCAAAATAACGTGACCGGGCTCCTTTAAAGAAGGAGATGCCTAATAGAGCTTTAAAGTAACTCTACTATATTAACTACGGAATATCTACAGTCTAGTTTAATTTGACATTTATAAGCCCTCGCAAACTTTTTTTTCTTTTGTTGGTCATATCGAGTCAGCGGTCCCTACCGGAGAGCAGTCGAACATTGAATGAATGCTCTCGATTTCTTTTAGTTTGGCAACTGAAGAAACGAAGTTGACCGAAGCATGCGTAACTTTTTAGAAAATATTTGGGAATTATTTTGTTAAATAATTAATTCATACATTTGCCTTTCTATAAACAAAAACTTAATTTCAGAATTTGAACAAATTGATCTAAAATGTCATTTTTATAAAATTTCCAAAGCACTCTTATTGATTACGATCGTCGAAATCGCAGAAAACAAGTTCTGAACTTTGTTGTTAGGAATTTCTAATCTCTTCCCTCAGTGGTTCATTGGTTCATATGTATCTTCATGGTCAGCGGTTGGCTTGCTTCCTTTTCCCACAGCCTCGTTTTCAGGCAATAGCTCAACGTAATCCTCTTCGTGGGCTTCGTTCTCTGCTCGAAATGATTGCTGGTCCTTTGCGAGGGCAGAACATGAGTTGTTCCCCTGTGCACGATGCGAAGGGCCTGGTGCTGGTTTCAACGTTTCATATGGATTCTTTACATTTACTGCCGGTGACGTTGGCGTTGCCATGGTATTTCCCGCCAAAATATTGTCATCACCAATGATCTCAACGTAATCAGGAAGTTGATTTACAGTAGTATTTCCATATTCTTCTGAATCTTGCTCGACCGAAGAAGCCTGTGCTTTTTCCGAGGACATATTTCTCAGCAGTAATTGTTCGTATCGATTTTCGTTTCCCTTCCTATTAACCTGTTTATTCTCTGATGCTTGAGGTGAAATGGACTGATATCCGGTAACTCTGGGTAATTCTTCACTGGCGGTTACTTCTGGTTGTTGATAGGCTGGGCGTTCGGGAAGAGATTCTAAAATCTCCAGATATTCCCGAGAAGACGGATCTAACAAGCATGACTCCAGCCTCTGGTAGACATGCTGCTGCTGTTCTTGCTGGTAAGCGGCAATACTCGCCGGCCCATCCTCTCTACTCAGGGCTGGTTCACCGTGTGTAGGATGGACACCGTTTCTCTGAAGTTTTGGACTTTCTTGTTTCTTTCTTTCTTTTACAGTTGCGGCGGACAAATCCAGACACCCCTCGCTATCAATAGCCAGATTATCTAACCCTTCTTGAGATCCTGTCTTGCGGGTTATTGCCCTCTGCTGCACAGCTGTCAGATGACGTTTTTTCCGTCGTCTTTTCTTGCAGCATACATAGTAAATAAACCAGATATTCAGCACGTATGAGATAGCCAGGAGGCAAGCCACAACGATGAACACGCTAGTTTGCAAAACTGTGAACAACAAAAAAGAACAAAGTTTTGTCATCAAGAAGAAATGTCAACGAGTTTATTTTATTGATATGTTAATGATTTCCATTTTCGTTCTTCCCAGAGCCAAATTCTCTACATTCTCTTATGGGCCTATATTTCCTCCTCGTCATAATGGCCGCAAATTTATAGATATGCTTGTATAGTACTCTGGCGCGCTTAGGTTAATCAAGTATAAAACAACAACGGTTATGTTAGATCAAACTGATGGGTTTTTGACAGCTTTCATTTTAATAAATCTCAATATTTATACAATGAAGGGAATTCTGAACAGTATTTGAAATTATGCATGGTTCAGGTTTAGTGTTTAACGGTAACTAAACAGAGGACATAAGCACAGAGAATGAAAACAACAAGATGTCTTAAGCATAACACAATGAATGTTAGTGGATTTAATACGTCAAATAAAAGTAGAGAAAATAAATTTACTTTCTTTGTGAGGTCTACACACGACACCAGCGTCCATGCTATGGTCACATGACACGTTTACGTCATGGGTTTTCCATCTGTCATGTTTGCATCTAAGTAGCGATTGCTCAAAACCATTGCACTTTACATCTTTGAGAAATATTGGGCCTGACCCTCTTCCGAACCCGGCCATGGGGACAGCGGCTTCTGTAAACGAAAAGTCCAGCTGTCTACAGACAACGCGGGCGTCTTTTATGTTCCAGTCCTTGTCACACACTGTGCCCCATAGTTCACCGTCGTTGCTGACCTCGACTCGTCCTGCGTAAGGAAGACTGGAGCCCTTTAAACGGATATAAACTGCAGTAGAGCAGAGACTAAAATTTAGTGCGTGACTAAACATTTATATTACAGTGCGTGACTACACATATTACAGTGTGTGACTAAACATTCATATTGTCATGATCGTTTTGGCTTCAGACTGCAGAGATAGGTTCATAAGTCACGACCTCTTAAGCGTCGAAAGAGAAGGCCTAAAGGCTGTAGATAGGTTACCATTTTATAAGGAACGGAAAAGTAGAAAGATCGGAAACTGAACATGAAAGGGAAGAGAATTTGAAGAATAAAACTGACATGCAAAACTGAGATGATTAAATCTCAGAATGATCTTACTTCTGTCAATATCGTCACTCTCCTTGAGAATTTTAAAATAAGCTCAAACTGTATTTAAAAGTTCACAAGTCTTTTACACCGATAGTATTAACTTTATCTTGCTTTCTTGCAGCTTTTGCTTTTCTAAGTGAAATATTAGGAACCAAACCTTATGCAAGCATTTGTAGTGTAATGAAGGCCATGCCTTTGTTTGAAAAGCAGCTGAAACAACACTGTCATGTTTTCATTCAAGAGTAGTGAAAAGGTCGGATGTTCAATAGAACAGAATAGCTCTTATTTTCTAGATAGCAAGTAGAACTGGCCTTGAGATTATGACAGTTGTATGCAACAGCTGGAGAGCTGCTCTCTTGAATTGTGGCCCAAAATGAACCCATCTTTAATGAACAACAGTTTGTTTTGAAATAATTAATTGCGGCGACTGAGCAGTCGAGCCTGTTCTAAATAATACTTCAGTAAAATACTTATGTAAGATATTTCCCTTTGCAAATTAGAAAAAAATTGAAAGAATATGAGCTCTTCAATTCGCTAGACCCACATCTAACTTATATATATCTAATTATAATAGACGCACTTTCAAGGATTTTTTCATACAGTATTAATATTTCGATTGAAAGAGGTGAAAGGGTCGTCTCTTGGTCAAACTAAAATAATTCCTTTTTGAGTCAAAATACACAACACCGCCCCCAAAATCAGGTGACTCCAAATCCGAGAATGCGGGGAGGGGGGAGGGGAACAGGAGCAGTGTCAATAAACTGGAAATTCCCAAGATCATAAATATGTGCGACTGAGATCAAACAATACCCCTTAATTTTCTAACAGAGATATGAAAAATGTAGCCTAACTAAGCTTAGCCACATTTTTGGTTTATCTAATTAATATCTGGTAGCACACTCTTATTCTTGACCTCCCTCTTTAGGATATTTAAGGTGGCTAAATTTCGTTCTCTTAAAAATAACGCTTTAAATCTTCGCTATATCTGTGCTTTTCGTCACAGCGCTATATTGTAACCGCAAAGAACTTCAAACCTGTTTTGCTGCTATGCGACTCTGAAAGAATGAACACGAAAAGCCGTTGCTTTTCCTCAGTGTGTGTAACCTGGTTCGTGTGATTCTTCAAACACCTCTCCGATGTGATAATTGTCACGTTAATTTTTATGTGAAAATAGTTCATAGCTGTGAAAATAGTGCATAGTACCTTTAAAGAGTTCATCATCTTCGTGGCCGCTAAAGTTCCCTATTCCCCCAGCTTTCCCGATAGCAAAGATGAGAAACATTGTAATGATGATGTCCTTCATGTCGAAATTCTGGGTTGTTGATTTTGCCTGTGTAAATATATATATTGAACTGGAGAACTTATAGCCCTCCTCCTGTCACGATAGACGCGGTGAGTCACGGCATTCCGTTGTGCGACAGGCAATTGTGTGACACTAAGCTTAAACAAAATGCGCGGCTAAGGGTCACAACCAGGTTTTACTAACTGGTTTTAGAAACCTTTTGTGAGAAATACACACGCGTTAGCCTGGGTACGAGGGTTGGTAGTGGCATCTACAACAGTTTTGCTTGTGTTTAATACTGAATTGAAATGTCTGCTATTTTATTTTACATGAGGCACGCTAAATTGCGTTGAATATTTTTCATTGACAATCTTCTACGCAAATATTAGGTGCTGATAATTCGTTTCCTCTTTTTGCATTCCTCGGACCCAGGCCACGAATCCTTTAACAGGTAGCTCCTCTTCTTACACTCGATGTATGAGGAAAAAGAATTCAGGAAAATCGAGTTAATCCCAGTGGCCAATCAGACAAACGCTTATATCTCCGGTTTCCAGGGTACGAAGCGACTAGGAGTATTCCGACTCTCCCTGGATCAGATGCTTGTGCATCACAGGGTTATCCCTTAGCACCAAATTCGCTAGTACCCATTTATACACCAGGATGAAGAGAGGTACTTTTTATTCAAGAACACAACACAGTGCACCCAACCTGGGCTAGTACCCTTAGACTGCCTGATCTGGAGTCCAGGGCACTAACCGTTAGGCCTCTGTGCCTTCTACACTTTACTTGAAGAAAAGCTCTCTAGAACTCGAGAAACACGCATTATTTTTGCATGTACGCGTACACATTGTGTCCAACCGAGAGGGTGAACCCAGATTCCAAGCGGACTCCAGACATTGGGCGTGGCGCAAAAGGGGCAATGCATTCCCTTTGCTTATGGCTGATGTTAATTAATTAAACTGATCTCCGCGGTGTGGAAATTTTTGCTTTGAAAAAGGCTATGAAATTACACCAAAGCAGTTATAATAGCCATTCACTGTCTCCACACAAACGGAACTTTAATTATTACTCCATGCATTAGAATTAACTCCTTTAATACCAAGGGCAATACAATCCTCTGTTTTGATGTACCGCCCTATCCAAACTAACTGGTGACCAAATAATATTTTGTGAATTAAGTAAATAATCTCAATTCAAGAGTGTAAACATTCATGCGACCAGCAAAACTCTTTCTAGTCAACAAATCAAACTCCGGAGTCATTATAGCTATAGCAAAGATAGCAGTTTTCAAAGAACGCTCATTTGCAACACACAAGTGATTCCGAAACACATCTTGTTTCCAATATTATTCCTTGGGAGCAGGAATGGCGCAGCGCTGAGAGCGTTCGCCTCCCACCAATGTGGCCCGGGCTCGATTCCGGCTCTGTGTGATATGTGGGTTGAACTTGTTATTGGTTCTCGCCTTGCTGCGAGGGATTTTCTCCAGGTACTCCGGTTTTCCTCCCTCAACAAAAACCAGCAACTCCAAATTCCAATTCGAACAGGACAGAGGACCGGCATGAAAACCAGCTAAGGCTGTTGTGGCTTCCTCTCTAAATATTGTAGTTTTAGTCGGCGAGAAAACAAAAAAGTGAAAACAAATGTAACGCGGCCGACAATATTGCGCACCAGATTTTCAGTCATTACTTTGGCGCCCAAAGCAAACAATGTTACTCAAAATAGCTTTGTATTCGCGTCTGAATTGTTTATTCGTGGCAACATATATGAAGGGGTTGATGGTGCTACTCAAATAACACAAGAACCCGTATGTAAGGTACACCTGTCTCGGCAAAGTGTCTTCTCCACGTGCAGTGTCAATGTTATCCACGATACAAATAGGAAGCCAACAACACGTAAAACCGACCATTACTGCCGCTAAAGTCTTGGTCACTTTGGCTTCTTCAACGTTCGCTCTGAGTTGCTGAGGGTTATTTTCTTGCACGAAGACACGATTTGATCTAGACACTGTGTGAAAGACTTTGGCGTAACAGATGATGATAGCAGTTAAAGGAGTTGCGATGTAAATGCACTCGACAAATATAGTGTATGCGATGTTACTTTGAAATGAGTACCAGCACATTGCTTTACCAGCGTGAAATTTAACGGCACTTTTTTCGAAGAAGAACGGAGGAACAGATCCAACGAATGCCACGAGCCAGACAACAGCAATGTACATCAAAGCTCTTTGTTTTTTAAACACTACGGGGTACTTTACTGATTTAACGACACGAAAATATCGGCTCACTGCAATTATTGCCATGGTATTGAGAGAGGCCATTGCAAACGTAAACACTTCAAAGCTGAGAACACGACAAAATGTTTCGCCAAAAATCCACTCTCCTCGAAATAATGTTGCCACTGAAAAGGGCATACAGCAGACGGACATCAGAATGTCGCTTACACCAAGTGCTACTACAAACATGTTGGGAAGTGTACGAAGCCCCTGGTTTCTGCGCACGGCGTAACAAGTAAGAAGATTGCCAAAGAGGGCCACAACATTGATAACGGCAAACAAAACAGTTTCAATCCAAACTAAGGTCTCTGTTCTCGTGGCTAACTCGAGAGAAAGGGATTCCTCCATGTTCCGCGATGATCGCAGGAGGATGAAAAAATTTTGAAGCTTTCTAGCAAGTTATTGCGACGCAGTTAGCTTTAAACTAAGAATGAAACTCTTATAGCACGTGGAGTGACGGCGGACCAACTGTAATAACAGCCGTTATCTTCTGTCGTTTTCATGGGATGATTCAATAAACTGTCACGGTCAATTGTTATCTGCATCAGCTTTATAAACTTATATTGACGTTGTCTAGTCCTTTCTGACAACAAGCTGTCGGGTGAGATATGAGATTACTGGCGTCAGGCACGTAAAACTTGCCCATCGTTTACTATACTCCCTACAAAAATCAATTAAGGAATCCAAAAAACATAAAAACGTTCGCGCGTTGAGGAAAAGTTAACAAAAACTCACCCGTGAAGACATTGTAGTTATAAGTGGGATATTGAAAAGCGTGTGCTAGTCGACATGCTAAATACACTTAAAATAGAAAAGTTACAAATATAGCTAGACTTTTTAGTAAAAGGTGTAACAACCAACGCATTGAGGTTCTAAGCGCAGTAAGAAAAGTTCTACAGTAACTCAGAAGAAGAATTCAGTGAAGGAAATATATAAATCGGCTACAGAAAAACGTGAGGAAAAACGTTTGAAGAGCTAGAATGTGGTGTGAAAATCCGCTTATAAGCGTGGAGAAAAGTTAATTGTTAAGACAAATAAAATTTGAACCCACAGTCTAACAGATAGATTGAAATTAATTTATTTCAATTATCAAAAGAGAGCGATTTGAAGAGTTCAATTGACATTGTTAAAACAAACGTGATGTTTTCAACCTGTTTATTTAAACTACAACACGTACGTACAATTTTGAAAAAAAAAAATTTTCCAATGAGTATTTGTCACTAAAATGTTCATGTAGTAATATAAACAAAATGTATAATACGAACAACTATTGCCCATTCTGTGATGCTGGACTGAAACTGGGAAAAAATACAAGGAAAAAATTACACGTATTGTTATGACAATGCGAAAACAAACAATAGAAAGTTTTTGGGGTTTTTTTTGGAATTTTCTTCCGCAGCTGCGTGAATGGATTTGTTGATTTTCAGGCGAACATAAAGTGAACATTTCAACGAAAGTGAAAATAGAATACGAAAAGCACGATACAAACCACGTTTTATTGTCGATACTATTCACCTTTTCGCCCACTTCAGATGGCAACGATGGCAGAATCTCTAACGCCAATTCCGTGATGTTGCAATTTTCCTGTCAATGTTGACTGACTTTCGATTGTTTAAATATCATGGGGTTTTTTTTATGTCTCTTGAGGTATGACTTCGCCTTATCTTTTTAACAGTACGAAAAACCATAATTTCAATGAACCTCCTGATGTACAATGATTCTATTCATATAATGATTATCATAGTAATCGGCAATGATTACTGTATTCTTATCGGTAATAATTTCGAAACACAGAGGCAAGCGAAAATAAGCGATAAAAATTGACGTTTAGGTGTCATCATGGAACCACTGTCGTGGTGGTTAGAGACATTTTTCTACAGGTCTTTTACCGCTGATGTCACTAAATTTGCAAGATGTATTATACACTCTTCTTTTATATAAGAATGTATTTTATAGAATACCGAGGCTAAAATTTGCGAAAATTGAAGAACGTTTTTGGAATAAACCCCGCGCTAAAAGTTTGAAAAGAATATAAATACAGAATTATATGTTTTTAACTAAACAGTTAAAATTCTTCCTTTCTCTAAACGGCAAAACAAACACGAAAAAAAAACAACAACAACAACACTAGCCGTATGTTTGATGCCAATAACATTTCTGCAAAACAGAATCTGTTCACAAGTTGTTCATGTAAAACTTAATGTTCTGTCCCATAGTTGATAATACAGTGTTCAAACAGCATTTACTTAAAGTAACTGGACAAATTATGTATTCGGACTTGAAGTGAGCGTTACATGTTAACACCCAATAAACCGACAGTAGAGAAAACGGCATTTTTGGAGTTCCAGATAACTGCAGCCTCCTTGATAGGGTAAAACGTTCAGCAGAGATCTCCTCTGCGTTGCGTTGTAAACATAACAGTTCAATAGACACATGCACACTTGTTGTGCCCGTTTTTTCGATCCTGGAATGAATGATGGGAACACATAAAATGATGTTAACAAATATAAAATGAAGCTGTGGTCATCGAAGTTGCGCTGGCAATTTAAGCAATTGCATGTTAAACCCGAAACAGTAAAGATTGTGAGACTTCGATGGGATTCGAACGCGTGGCCTCTGTGTTAGCGCTGCATTGTTCTACCAATTTAGCTATGAAGAGCCATACATTGGAAGCACGTCAATTTATAGAGCTCATCTTAACCAATGAAAGGAAATGAACATGAAAAGAATGATGTTAACTGGGGAAATGCTTTCGTCCTTTCCTTATAGCATAAAAAAATATGCCATTGATCATAGCTTAAAGGAAATTTGCTGGCCGACTTACGGCTCTTTCGATCAACTGGTTTCATTAAAATCAAGAAGCCATGATCAGCAGACTGTATGTGTTGCGTGGCACTTATGACCACGCCAAAGTAATGGACAAAGTAGAAGAACCCTTTTAGGTGTCAAATAATTAGGTCAACACAGAGGTTTGGGATGTGGTTTCTCTTCAGCGTTTAAACTTGCCAGTTTTACAGTCAAACAATTACATCAGGTCTTAGTTATGGAGCAGGTTTCAGTGATAAAAGCTTTGTACCCATTCAATAGATGTTAAAAACAAGTTTCGAGTTCAACCCTGGCTTTGTAGATATCTATGTAGTTTCACCGACTCTCTGACTGTCTGAATCAGCAGAGTTAGATTTTGTTTAATGTCTCTAAATATATTACCTTCACAGATAAATCCAACTCTGCTTGTAAACAATAACAGCAAGCAGTGTCGTGGCACTGCAAACAAAGTTGTTTTGGAGTATTCAGAGAAGGAAATCAGGGAAAGCTCAGTCAGGGCCAGGCCGCAAGTTAGAAACTCACGTTAACGTCAGTCTAGTGAATTGCGTCATTAGTATAAGAGATTTAGGTTCTGATCAAGCTACAAAAATATCCACACTGAAAATTTAAAGGCGATGGCATGGCACACTGTCCCGAGAAATTTGTGACCAAAAACTCCAACTTTTCCAAGGATTGAATGAGCTTTTTAGCTCCTTTGTCATCTTTTGAAAGCCAATAAGTGCCTTAATATTACACCGAAAGAGCAGTAGAAATGTCACGATTCACAAGGTTTCATTAAATGAGTATGAAGATGGTTTCGCAAGATCTTTAAAAATTTGAAGTCAAATTGTGTCATT